GATTTGGATTGTTCACAGCTGTACAATTTAAGTTGTGTTACAAAACCATGTTGTATCCAACACATGAACACCCCATCGTATGTAGTTTATACAAGGAAATTTGCTTAAAACAATGGACAATTATTTTGTAATATTCATTTGTATCCGTACAGTAAATATATTTCATAAATAAAATGTAAATTAATGATTATAGTGTTAATTTGATGTATTGTAAAAAAAAATACTGAATATAATACTATGTTTTTATGCAAATAAATTGTTATTCATTTAAAGAATAATGCCCTCACGCTTTATATACACATCCTTGTACTCGTCATTAACTAACGCACGCTAATAGTTGTTGGAAAATACGAGTATCCTCGTTTCCATTGATAAATCATATTGTTTTATTCGTAATTACTATAGTTTTTATACTTTGGTTGGAGAAGAACTACTCCTAAGATATATCAAAAAATTGTAGCATCCCTGCACTACACTTACAGTCTATATTTTAATACATTTCAAAATACTGTTCCAAGAATTGTTATTGACCAGCCAATTTTATCAATTAAATTATTTTCTATTTAATAAATCAGTTAAACATTTATGTTGTCGTTAAAAAAAATAAATACATTTTTCTAAAATACGTATATAGTATTTACTGTAGGTTTTAAATACTTATTGGATAATAATCTGGTAATTATCAAAATACAAAGAGGGTAATTATTTTGTTTTAATTGCAAAATAGATATTATTTAAGTATTTATTATAATAACAAATCCAAACACAATTAATCAATTCAATACAGTGACATACACAGAAATTAAATTTGAGGAAGGTTTGAAATTTAAAGAAAATTAGATGTGACACTGCCCATATTGTTCGCTTACAAAAATTCCTGTTTTCGATTACTTTATTGTGGAAATATTTATAGTATGATATGATCTTTTTAATTGTTATTACTGTTTATTGTTTATGGTCCAAAATTGTTGCTTAGCTTATAAATTTTGGCAAGTGGTTCAACCCCGACTCCCCCCCCTCTTGCGTACACCAGTGACCATATATTACTTTATTTAATTCAATTTCCAACTTAATCATTTATTTTAATTATAATTACTATATCAAAGTTGACAAATAAGCTATAGATTTAAAATAAACTCAATCATTAATTGTATAATGATTATAACTTTAAATCTAAGATATTTTTCGTGTAAATTTAAACCTTACATAAGTAATATTGCGAGAAATATTAAAAATTCTATTAATTTTATTTTACATTATTATTATTTTGAATTATTCTGGTGTTTCAATATCATTGAATCTTAATCATTACATTTAATTACAATGTAATTAAATAAAATATTACATTAAAAAATCTTACTTTATATGTACAAAATGTATATTTACATAATATATTATAATCATAACAATATTTGTTTCCAAAGATAGTAACTTAAAACTATAAAATGCTATTGGTCTTCTAATGGAATGGCATAATGACCGCAAACCAGCGCGTCAACACTTATGGAGCGTGTAGTGCTTATCGTCGAAACGGTGAAGCGCTAACTTTGCAATACGTAAGGTACGAAACTCATGATCAAAACAAAGAATAGACACGTTATGCCGGTACGGAGTGTTCAGTAGTGATAATGTTGGTAGAGATTCACCATCACGTAAAGATCCGGTGACTACACGGGCATTCTCTACGGATAATGCTCATTCAGATGCATCGTCACCATCGTCATAATCTTCGAACAAACACCGTTTGTAATGGTTCAAAGACAGATGGTTACGGAATTCATTTCCACAGATTCCCATAGACTTGATGAGTTCACTGCCTTCCATATCATAAGCGTAACACTTTGATCAAAGTGTAGCGATCTCGAAGAGAATGAACCCACCGATTTCGTCTGAAAACAAACCGGGTATCCTCTTTCTAGCTGTTGAGTAACTTTGGTGATGCTTGAGCAGGCTAGATGAGTCCATGTGAGTCAGTAAATCAGGGCTGTCAGCCAAATCCTAAAAATAGTCCTTAACACGAAGCAGATATATGAAGGAGTCTTTGAAAAAAATATTAAAAATATTCATATATAAATGTAGAATATATATATATTATATATAATATATATTCATATATAGAATGGGTTGTACTTATCAGTATCCATGTAAACCAAGCTGATCGCGTCACCATTATCAGGTATTAACACGTCAGAGTTGTACTTGTACACTAACGTTTTGCTAATATCAAGCACTGCTAAACCGACGTATATAAGTTTGACAAACTTTACTATTTTCGTGTCCATTATGACAGCGCACCACTTTTCACCGTATTTGATACAGTCGTTGAAGGTTGGTTGATTTACGAGTTTGCTGAGTCATTGAGGACTGGAGATTAGCTCAATGCGAATATATTTCCGCATGTTCTCCATTCAATAACCAAAATTTACTAAAAAATAAATATTTAACTATAAAAATAAAGTTATAATAACTAGTATAGTTATAGTAACTAATAAAATACTAATAATACAGACTACATTTGGTATGTTACAGCTATTTTTATCTAACTCATATAGAAGGCTTCCATCCGAATTATCAATACCATTAAATAATGAAGACTCGACATTTCTAAGCTATGTAAGATATATTGTAGAATATATAGATTATTTACAGGCTAAATTGTGTAAGCGACATTCATATTAAATTTTTTTTTAACTAATAACATAAAAATTAATTACAAATATCATAAGATATCTTAAATTTCATGATATAAATCTTTTTTTTTTTTTGGGGGGGGGAAGTGGCCCCAAACGTTTTTTCATGATTTTGAAAACCGTACGAAATTTAACAAAAAAAATTTTTTTGATAAAAATATTTTACAAAGTTATATAAGTTTCTAGTCAAAATAAATAATTTTGAATAAAAATGTAAAGGGGCCAACACATTGACTCTTTTCTTAATACACCAATGCTGTTAACATTATTTTTTAAAAAATTTACAATAAAGTTTTTATACAACTATTTATTGCTTTTTTTTAATTTTCCAATTTTTACTCAAAATAGTACGTTTTTCTTTGATATCTATTTTCACCACGAAGATATGATTTGACAAAAACTTTTTTTTAATTAAAGCATAACACATAGGCTCTAATTTTAGATATAAATAAAGTATCAGTATAGTGTTTCCGGAACATTTTTAAAAGTTAAGTTGAAAAAGTTTATAAATACTTTTATACGCATTATTTATAAATTAATAGAAAATAGTACACGTTCATTTTTCAATGATGCAAAAACCTAACCCAGACAAGAAAACATTATAAATATNTTTTTCAATGATGCAAAAACCTAACCCAGACAAGAAAACATTATAAATATGGTTATATCAATTATAACGATTAAAATGAATGTTATTAATATTATTAATATTAATATATTATTAAATTGTATAATTATTTTTAGGATCAAAATGAACTGGATAGTACAATTTCACCATCAAGTGTAAGTGTAAAAAATTAATTATAATGAAATATGACTTATTTTTAAGTAATATAAACATTTAAAATGTATTTTGTTAAATATTCTTAAATTAATATTATCAAAAATAAAAATATTATGAAATTACCATGCAAGCTATTAGTATTTTTTTTTTTTAACTGTATTAAATATCTAGTACTTCAGAAAACATGGATGAAATAAAATTATGGATAGTTAGAGACACAATAATTTCAATGTTTCATTAATTAAAATAAGGAAAACCAGGAAAAATATACATATCTTCTTTATAATAATTTTGATAAATATTTAAAAAAATAAAGTAATTTGCATTGTCATAAAAAAAATTCAGTAATGCAGTATAAATAGAAATTCTTTCATAAGTTTTCTTCATAAATAATATTAATAATAAATATTCATTGTTTTTGTATATATTATTAAGCTTCTAATTTTTCTAACCAAATCAGTTTAAATTTTCCAGACACTCTTTTTTATTTTATATTTTGATACTCTTATGGATAAAAAGTAGTTATGATACTTTGATTATTACTATGTAACTATTTGCTGTCAAATTACTACATAATAATAAATAATGAAGGATTAAATTGTTTAATACATTACGAAAATCAAAAGTTTCCAATTGTTATGGATATTGTGTAAACAGTATATCCTTATTGTTTTTATATGAAATGTTCTGAACTTCGAAAATTCTGACTCACAAAACCATTTAAATGTAAACCATGTGTATTCACGTTAACTTGAGTGTATTATTATATTCATTGCTTACTTAAGAATTTTTTATATCTTCATTAATTCATAAAAAATAGTATTTAAATACAATATTTTAAATAATAAAATAAATATACAGAATCTCCCAAGAGACCCTCGAGAACCTCGTAGGACATTCTAAATATTTCAAGGTTTAAATTAAGTATAATTTCTTAGCAAACGCTATAGATTCATTTCATATTTTATCTCAATGTTAAGATATAATATTTTAAACTTGAAAAAAATTATTAATAAAAACTTATTTGGTTTTGAAAAAGTCTCCATTTATATTTATGTTTAAATTAAATCTGTAGTAGACATATATTTGATATTATAGAATTTGGTGGTACATGTAACAAGTGTGTATAGAACACCTGATAAATTGCATACAACTGTTAAATATCTTATAGCTGATCATCGTTTTCAACCAGTTGATTCAAAATGGAGAGAAAATATAAGTAAAAAATTAGAATTTCAAACAGGAAAACCATACAACCTCCAACAATCAAATAAAATGTTAAAATCTCCGAAATACAATAAAGATACAGGAATTACTTTGGATACAAACGAATTTTTTAGAATTATATCTCTTTTATTTAGTGGAACACAAGAAAATTACGAAATTTTACGTACTAAAGTTTTTGAAGTAATTATATAATATAAATATATGCCATAATCATAATCAAACCATATTAATCATTAATATAAATAAGATATTATCTCTTTAGTTTAGCACCAAAGAGGTTGTGCGCTATAGCCGCAGATGCGGCACCTATTCAAAGTCCGACTCACACGGTTGGACTGCATTATTCCACTCATCTCTTCACTAAACAATGAAGAAATTAGGTTAAGGCAATAAGCTTATACAAAAGTGTTATTTTTTTAAATTACAAATTTTTCAAAACTGAATTATTTTTAATGATTTACTTTAACTAAAAGAAGCAATCAAAAAGTTGTTATAAAAATCTACTCAATTTGGTGTATTATTATAAAATTTAGATTACAATAGTAAAAATTTACTATAAAACTAAAAATAATTTTTTTTTAGAAATTATTTATATAGCAAAATGTTACCCAAAAAATTGGAATATTATAGACTGGTAGTAGCACACTTAAATAGAGTTAAATAATTAATAAATTATAAAGTAAAGTTACTTACTTTTGTGGTTGAATACTTTTATCATATCAAATCTAATTTGACAATAAATACTTTAAAAATATTAAAAATTATTTATTTTAATTGTTTTTATGGAGAAAGCTGGTTAAACTACTTTTTATTTGTTTAAGAAATTTTTTTTCAATTTTTGAGGGTAAAATATTCAGCTAAATACGAATTATAATCATTTGACTTACCGTTAAAACAAATAGGTCAAGTGAGGGTTGGGAAAATAAATCACAACCACATAGTAAAATAATATTAACATGAATAAGAAATGTCTTGTCACGAGGGGATACTACAGTGATGGGATCCTTGATAATTATTGAAGTTATTGATTCTAAATAAGATAAAAATCAATTGATTTGAAAATTTTTTTTTAGCTCAAAAATAATTATGGAATAAATACAAAAAAAAAACCCAGCACAGGGGGTTCGCGACACAGTGGTGACGTGACATAGTTGGATCAAGTATAATGATATCTAACAGTAATTAAAATCACTATAAAAAAAAAAAACAAACGCTTCGATATAAATCTTTAAATAGTGTTTAATTTTCAAAAATTGGTGAATTATTCCAAAAACTACATGATCTGCTATTTCCTTATTAACATCCTGATTAATATAAAGTATATGAAAAATGGACTATTAAAAGACATTTTTTTTCATAAAAAATTGTGTTAATCCATACACTTTTCAATAAGTTATAAAGTATTATAAAGTTAAAAATGTATAAAATAAAATTGAGAATTTTCACACAAAAATAGCATTTGATAGCCATTTTCATATTAGTTTTAATTTAATATGATGGTTTAGAGTTAAATTTTATAAAAATTTATGTAAAATCAAATAGAAATATCTAAGATTTCAATGTAAAAAATCATTATTTTTATTCGTTTATTTTTCTATAAGTTAAGGAAAATTTTTAGAAAAAAAATGTCGATTTACGATAAACGAGGGAAAAATTTTCATTTTTTGATGATAATGTCTTTAACTAGGTATGATTTGTGATCTGTTGACGTATTATTGAGAAAAATGAGTAATAATTAATAATTTTTTTGCCAAATTCAATTGATGGTGAAATGATATTTCCATATTTTGACTTTGAGGCCACTACCCTACCTGACATTGGATTCCGGTAGCATTGTACATTATTTAATTATTTTTGTTTTACGTTTTAACGATACTACATTTTTATGTTTAACGATAAATGGTTCGAAACTTTTTCTTACCTGAATTTTTTTAAATATAATGTTTGAAAATAATTTATTTTTGTTTTAAGTTATATTATATTTAACGATTGCTTACGTTCATTGATATAACATTTTGGTATTTTATTTTTTGATAAAAAAAATTTTCATTTTAATCGTTATATGCTTTCTTGTCTGGGTTAGGTTTTAATTCGTTGAAAAATGAATGTGTACTTTTACTATTAATTTATAAATTATTTTTTCAGACTATTTCTAAGAGCCATTATATTGTTAATATTATGAGAGATTTATACAGCGTTGACACATATTTTCAAGGAGAAGATTTTAAAAATTGTGGTATTCTTTTAATTTTTTTTATAAATATTTAAAGAGAAAAGATTTATTTAGTAAAAGTTTAATATTCATTCTTTCGATATTTTTGAGATATAATCAAACATACAACGTATTAACTATGCTTATGGAATATATTTGTTGTATTACCATTTCTTAGTTTTACAAGAGCATATTTTAGCAAGGATTTCTTCAGTAAGCTAACTTATATTCTATGCATGTTTCAGAGTGTTGGGTGGTTGATAAGAAAGTAGAGCAGAGAAAGAGTGTAGCAGAGATGAGAATGCTTAGATGGATGAGTGGAGTGACTAAAAAAGATAGAATAAGGAATGAGTATATAAGAGAGAGTATAGGTGTAGCGTCAATCGTGGATAAGATGAGAGAAAATAGACTTAGATGGTTTGGTTATGTTAAGAGGGGAAAGAAATCAGAAGCTATAAGATAAGTTATAAAAATTAATGTTGAATTCCTTCTCAGCGTCGCATCAAAGGTAATAATAAAATTTTTTTTTTTTGATTAAATAAACTACATCTAAAATACACAAGAGATTTCAAAAACAGGTAACTATTGTTTTTTTATGACGTCGTTATCACAGATACGAAGCGTTTATTGTCAATTGTGAATAACAAGAACTAATGTATTATAATTACAGCCCTATGCACAGTACTTAAATAAATCCTGGTAATTTTTTAAACGTTAATAAAAGTTAAGTTGGCTTATTTAAAGAATTCATGCTAAAATATGCTGTTGTAATTAATAATAGCCTTGCCCAAGTCTACTATTATATACTTTCAAAAATACTACATTTTGGAATATTCACTAAAACAATGAATTATCCCCATAATAATAATAATATTAATTATTTTTATTTTACGTAGATACAATCACAATGTTAGTTACAAGTTATGTTATTGAAACAAGCATTTATGTATATGTAAAAGTGTGGGACTATTGGTTATACTTACCAAAAGAATTTCCTAAAGAAAATTTTTCTAAAATTAGTGAAGAAAAATGTATTTATTTATATAATGAAGGAAGGCAATTTTTTATAGTTGAAGATGTAGCTGAATAATATAATATAAATATATACAAAGTGAATCGTTTATCATAAACAACTTATTTACTTTTAAAATAAAAATAATGTTGATTATAAATATTTGAATTTTTTTTAGTTACATAATTTCTTGATTTATCAATTTTTAAGTAGTTTTAAGTATCATTCTTTAGTTTTAGTTTTTATCGTGGTGGACATAATGCCCATGTTCTCAGACCTGTTAGTCCATAGTGCGCACATTATGCCGAATTGTCTTGATTCGGTTACCCACCAAAGTGTTATCACCGAAGTGTCATTACAATTTACTTATCATTGTAGAAGGGTGGATCATCAAATCATCCCCATGGATAACCAAAGTATCCTGTCTTTCCGGCGAAATTAAGTATCTCTCTGGGTGTTAGGTTTTTAATATCTTCTTTGTCAAGAATAGGTTTTCTCGAGTAGTTTGATCTTAGTGTGCACAAGGCTTCACATTCTCACATAATGTGAAATGAGTCTTCCTCTTCTACTCCACACTTCCTGCACAGTGGTGATTCCGATACAACCATTGCGTAAAGATGTTTAAGTGTCCATGTTCTGTCAGTAGAACAGTCAAAGTGCTTATTTGATGACTAGTCATGCTATTTAGATCATCCAGCAGTAGACCTAGGATCTTGATAAACATTTTAGATTCACTAGGTACTACCAAGTATTTCCAGTTATTCCTGTGTTTTTTTCTGCAGCACTTCTTGGGTAGCTCTTTGAGCGATTTCTCAGTGAGTTCTACCACTGGATCTGATCCAACATAGGTGTTCTTTGTTCCTTTCCTATCTAAAAAGTGAGCATTTTCATTTCTAGTGACACCGTTGTGTTCTGGTACCCACGTGTGATGGTGTCACGTTTTCATAATCGTGAGAATTATTTTAATAAAATACATACAGCACATCTGCTGCCTGAGACTGATGAATTAACTAATTATATTTATTGCCAAATCGGTNCGTTGTGTTCTGGTACCCACGTGTGATGGTGTCACGTTTTCATAATCGTGAGAATTATTTTAATAAAATACATACAGCACATCCGCTGCCTGAGACTGATGAATTAACTAATTATATTTATTGCCAAATTGGCAATAATTCTAATTATTATAAAAACCCAATAGACCTGACCATCGTGGTCAGTCGACTCCAGTGCCTTGTGTCATTCATCAGTCTCAGTACTCGGTTGTCGCTGTCCGGCTTACTGTTTAAAGTAAAGTCTTTGTTTATTCCTTTTCTAACCTATATACTCTTTTCCTCGACATTTCATAGTACTTGTGCCTTGCACTTCGTCTGCACCTCGTACTTCATTGTCCTCTCCTATACCCCAAGTATTTGTGTCTTGCACTTCGTCTGCACCTCATACTTTGGGCTCCTTTTGCGTACACCTGGTATTTGTGTCTTGCACTTCGTCTGCACCTCATACCTAGGTGTTACTCTTATTCTCCCTTCCTATAACAACAGCCTTTCGACACCCACAGCTAACCCGGAGTGTCAGCCGAGCACGGTGACTGCTGTACGACAACACGCACGTGAATACCTAGACAGCAGGCACCACCTCCTCATATTCATCTTCGTACACACAGTTACACATAGTTACACTTTCACACATTTACCTTTTATTGTTTTCTCTTTACTGTGTTACGACACACGTTAGTGTAACTTTTTTGAACCTCGATAGTGATTCTAAAGTTTCCCTGCATTCGAGGACAAGCTTTGAAAGCACTCTGTAATGATCAGGTGAATTCAAAGCTGCTTGACTGTCACTTAAAATAGTTATCTTCCTATTTTTGTATACCAGCAGGTTCTGAGCCCCTACCAATATCGCCATCACCTCTGCTTGGAAATCAGAGGGTGTTGTGCCCAATCACATACTGACATTCGTTGATTTAGACCCCAAATGCCAGCACCTACTTTTCCTGATTTTTTGGATTCATCTGTATATATTACAAATCCTCTTTTTTCATTCAGTTGGTTAATATTCTATTCTCTACGTGTAATGATTTCCATTTTGTAAGGAATGTTATTCTTCAGAACAGGTTTGATATAGTCCAAGGGTTATTCCAAAAAGTCCTGGTATATCTCTTTTATTATTTCACCACGTTCTGCTATGTCACTCTCTAAAGTCCAATTACCTAAGTTGTGGAATCTTAGTGCCGTATCTTTGGTGTGAGCATTAACATGTAGGCGCAGAGGAGGCATTCCAATTAGTGCCTCAAATACGACCGTTGGTTTAATTCTTAATGCTTCTGTAACGAGTACTGTTCTGGTCCATCAGATTATGTCACTATACAATATTTATAAATAATCACTGAAGTTTACAACCAATACATAACTCATGGTATAAGATCCCGTGTCTTTCCCAAGGCTCTGCTGCAAGTTCATCGTATGGACATTGCTTTTTTGATTCTTGACTTAAAATGTGATTTTCATTTTAGTTTACTATGTAAAATAAAACCTAAGTATTTTACTTCCGATTTTAAGCTAATTTCTTGTTCATTTAGAGTAAAAGTGCTAAGACTGTCTAGTCATTTTCTTTTTCTAGTAAACATAACGACCTCTGCTTTATTTGGATTAACAAATTGATCATACTTACAATACAATATCTGTATAGTGTTTATAATCTGTTGTCTTAAATCTATAATAGTGTATGGAAATTTATCCACCACTGCTATAACTAAGTCATTCGATTAAGCTTGTGTATAATAGTATTTGTTTAACTTTTTAATAAGCAAGTCCAATACTAGACACCATAGCAAGGGAGATAAAACCCCGCCTTGTGGGCATCCCTGCCAACACTCTTGATTACTTTGGTTTCATTGAGCTGTCCCAAAATGGAGCATTCCTTAAGCATGGATTCTGTCCGCTCAGTAATAAGTGGTTTTATTCCATGCTGTTGTGCAGATTCACACATAGCATCAAAGGGAGTATTGTTAAAATGCCCTTCGATGTCCAGGAATATACATACTGCATACATTTTATTCTCCACAGCTTTCCCTATCGTAGTAGTTAAATAGTGTAGAGCTGTATCAGTAGATTTTCTGTTTGATACACATATTGGTTTTCATGTAAAGGGTTCTCCTTTAAAGGCCCCTCCTTGATGTATCTATCAATAAGTTACTCCATAGTCTTAAGAAGAAATGAAGTAAAACTTATTGGCCTGAAGGATTTTACTTATAATAATAATAATAGTTAGTCCGGTTAGGTTTAGGTATAAACATCACTCAGACCTTTCGTCAGCTTTCCGGTTGATAACCATAGGCAAAGCATGACCTAAATATTTTGCAAAAATGGGAGACGATTAACTCTAACCCTTCTTGCAGAATTGCAAGGAAAACTTCGTTATAGCATGCAGCTTTGAAACTGAAAAAAGGATTTAATTGCTCATCTTATTCAACTTAACTTCAACTTTCCTGGTTAATTTCCAATCAACACAGTTCACCCGTTTATCCTGTGTATCATGTGACTGTTCTCTGTTATTAATTACAGAGTCAGGAAAATATGTGTTAATCAAATGTGATAATGTTTCATTATCGTTATTGGTGAACATGCCGTCTGGCAGTAGTATTGCCTTGACAGTTTCATTTGGTCCATTTCTTAGTGATCGCTGAAGTCTAGTTGCTATAGTGAGTTGCTGTAAACCTCCACAGAACTTCTTCCAGCTTTCTCTTTTGGAATTTTCAATGCAGATTTGTAGTTCCTTTGAGCGTTCTTATAGGATTCCCAGTGTTGTAACAAACCTGATTTCATTGCTTTATTTAAGAGCTGAAGTGAACTCTTTCCTAATTTAGACAGGTTAGCATTCCACCAAGCTACACCCTGTTCTGCACCTTCCCTTTCTATCAAAGGACAGTTTTATTTGTAAGCCGAGACAATGGTGTCCTGTAGTATATTTATGGTCCTTTCGGTACTCTGTCTCGGACCCAATCTAAACTGTAGGTTATTTAGGAGAAAGATCTGCCCTGTAGTTATCGCAGTTTGTTAATTTTCGGGTTCATATAGTACTCCATCTACACTTTGTTAATTTCCAAAGTGAATAGTAAGTGCCTATAATCAAAGAGAGAAGGTTCGGAGGACACTTTCCACCCATTTATCTTTTGAAATAACCCTTTTGAGCAAACTGTCATATCAACGACTTCGTGTCTATTCCTGATTAAAAAGGTAGGTTCACTATCTCTATTCAGTATACTGAGGACTGTAGTCAGCAATAGATCAATTATTTATCTCTCCTCTTTGTTTGGTGTTACTGGCCCCCAAATAGTGTGGTGAGCATTAGCATACGTACCTAAGATTAGTTCTAATTTTTTATCTTTCCAATAATTAAAGAGCATAATTAGGTATCTACTTGGATCTGTAACCTCATATGGTAGGTATCCTGAAGCTACTATAATATTTTTACTATCACTTAGTGTAACTCTAATAATAATCTAGTCTGCACTTGTTAGATTGAGTTCAAGCTGGCTTTAACTTTTTTGTTAACCAAAATGCAAGATCTTAGTTTATCTGCTTGTTTATGAAACATCTTAAAATTCCTTAGATTTAGTCCCTTAATCTCAGTTAGGGTACTTAGTATTACACTACTGGCCCCCTTACTGTGATGCAGGAACAGTTATGCTATACAGTGATGTATTGAATTCTATTATCAGCCATTCAGAAACTGATGTTGACACTTGACAAAGCACACTGTATTGGGTGTGATATAGGTGTCTGAAATAGTCCCTGTATCACACAACCCTCCAAGTGGGTGGTGTTCCCCCGCGTCTACAGGTGGCGTCAGTTCCTTAGGTTTGCTCTCCACATTGCCTTTTGGATCCGTGGAAAGGTCGCCCTCAACTGTGGCCGTTGTTGAGGATAGCGGTTTCCTGGGTCCCTTTTCCTTACGTAAACCACTTCCCTTTCGAGGCAGGAGTGAAGTACGTTCGTTTATTTCTTACCTGTGCCTTGACTCCTTTTCCGAATGGCACTGGTGATTCTTCAGCATCCTTCTTCCCTGATTTTTGAGGAGCGGATTTTTTCACATTCTTCTGGGCTGGTGGCTGCTTGGCAACACAGTC